CCCTAACAATGTCACTATAAATGTATGACCTAAATTCATCCTGTATCATGGCAGGGTAATCACCAGGTAAAGTTTTACTCTAACATACAAACCTTTTTCCAGAATGGCACATTATCAATGGCATATATATATATATATATATATCACTGTGGCTTTCCTGATCTCGAGACAAATTTATAGCAAATAGAAAGAAATGTATGTATTTTAGAGTTAAACACATAAAATAATATTCCCACTTCTCCAACCCTGATGCCTAAAAGATGTACTTTTCCCCCAGCTTTAGGAAAATGTCCTGAACTTGTAGCTCCAGCCTATTTTTTTAGATAAGAAGATCTAGAACTGTTCAAGGCCTTTTTGTACTGGGTTCTGATACTTGGCAGTGTTTACTTCTATTGTTTAGATCTAGCCCCACCTTGTGGGTCATAGTCTAGTCTAGTGCAGATAGTATAAAGTCATAATTGAGTTCAGGCACTGAGTGGGTCAGACTACCTGAGTTCAAATCTCCATAACCTGTATGACTTGTAACTGGTTAGTGCTCTGAACCACATTTCTTTATATATTTCTTTTAAGGAGGTGGTATGAGGGGAGAAGACACTGAGATGGTGCATGTAAAGAGGTCATTATTAGCACATTACCTGGCCCACACAAGCACTTGATAAATATTAACTATTATTATTTAAATGGGCAACTTTTTAGTTTAAGCAAAATACAGATATATTAATTTACTGTATACTCCATCTAAGATGAGTGAATTTTTCCCTTCTTAAAAATAAATTACATGCTAAAGGCAGTATATACAGAGAAGACAAGTAATGATTCTATAGCCTCTTACTATACTGATGGACAGTGACTGTAATGGGGTATGTGGGGAGGACTTAATAATAGGGGGAGTCTAGTAACCATAATGTCATTCAAGTAATTGTACATTAACGATACCAAAATTTAAAAATAAGTAAATAAATAAATTGCATGCCTGCACTGAAAAAGCCAATGCTCTCTGTGCTGGAGCTAACACCTCAAACCTACTTCCAGAAATCAATCTTAGGTTTTTTGTCTGGTATTCCCTCAGCCCATCTGTGTGGGGTGAAGTGACTTTCATTTAAATATCTGTCCTCGTCAGACCCTTCCATTTTGCATGACACAGATGTACTGGAGGAACTTGTCAGGAAGCACAAATTCAAACCCCACTGTTGACACATTTATAGGAAAAGCATCATTAAGAAACAAAATATTTATGGAAGGTAATCTGAAAATGTGCAGTCCCCATCTACTTATTTAAAACAGATCCTTAAATTAAATCAGTCTAGAGATCTAAGTACTTAGATAACATTATTTTGTGCCAGCACCAGACAGAACTGCTTTTACTGAATTGTTTTGATGTTATGTCACTAACCTACACAATGAAGCAATAAGGAATTTTACTACAAAACAAAGTAAAATATAACAGCCCTTTCGAAATTCATGCTGTGTTTACTTAAGGAGAAATTAGTATTTTATCTTAAGGTCACTGAACTATGTAACTGATTATGTTTCTCTCTGAACTTGCTACTAAAAAGCAGTCAAATCTGTGGCCCTCTAACAAATACTCACGACCTCAGTCCAAGTACTTTGTGTATAGATCTCATTCCTGTTTCCATCTTAATTTTTCTCCCTCAGTATTGAATTCATCACCCCCTTATTTTTGTGTGTTACCAGTAGTATGTTATATGTACCTTTGTAAGTCATTATGAATCCTTTCTGGAACAAGATGTGAGATAAGTAAATAATATGTTCCGCTTAAAAAACATTACAGCACAATAAGAAGATATTTTCTTCCATAACTAAACATTTTATGAATTCAGTTTCTGAAGGCATTATTTTTTTGCATTCAAAAAAGAGAGAGTGCTCTGGCAAATATTATGTTTAAAATTAGGAAATCCTAACAACAGGAACTAGAAAAATAAAACTTTCATTATTTTTAACTTTAGAACACACAGAATTGCAAACATACCCCAAAGTAAAAATCCTCCAAAAGTCATTTTTAATTTAGAAATACAAACCGAATCACCACTAATGCAATTACAATGATTTATTCTGAATGGGAATAAAATACACAGCTTCAAAAACGATTCATAAGAATTTTGCACAACTTCTGAGTTGTCCTGTGCCAAGCACAGAAGATGCTGCCAACTGCTCCTTAAGGTGACACAGCACAGAATTTGGAGTCCCAGAGGCTCTTGCTACATTCCTGCAAGGACTTCAGCAATCTCCTTGCTGTCATTTGAGGAAAATAAAACGCTTAACACTCTAAGTAAAAATTTACCCATTCACAAACTCATCATTCTGATCATAACTTAAGGCTTTTACCTACATATTTATCTAATTAGTTTATTATAATTATAATTCTTCCCCTCCTGGTGACCATAAACAAGTGAAGTATATATACAGTTAGAAACATGAAAAATTTTCTACTATTCAGTAAAAATTACTTTCTACCCCACCCACAAAAATTTCATTAAACACAGGAATCAAAGGTAAGTTGAAAGCAACACCATAGAAGTACAGCCTTTTCTTAAAGCATTTTATGCAAATATCAAAGACATAATATTATGTGAGATAAAGACAAGCCAACTTTTCTTATATCATCAACAATAGATTATTTCAAGGCATTTCAGTCATGAAACAACAGACATAAAGTTTCTACAATGCTTTATGACAGAAATGAGCATTTAATAAGACTTTCAAAATGTTTTGCCTCTATTGTGAAACTGCTTTTAGTGTCATAACTTTATGGGTTAAGAAGCCACTTAATAGCATTTCTATTATGAGTCAAAGAAGAGGCAGATGTTATGTTACACAAGTATCTCCTACATTTTAAGGATGGGTCATCTCTGCTAGAGATGTTTACTTTGTAACCAATAAAAACACATGTACCAAAAATTGAACTCACTGTCAAGATTGAAATTCTGTGTCTCCAGCCAAAGACTGACACAAGTAATTGAAATAAGATCGTTAATTCTTCTATGTGTAGAAATTAAGATGGAGTTTTTTTTCACTGAAAACCAGCATCAGTAATCAATGAACTGTCATCAAGTCAACAAGTACTCACAGACACTTGTGAATGCCCAAATTGGATTGAGAATGCAGAGATAAAAGCAGAATTCTTGTTTATAGAAGTTTACAAATTAGCAAGGGTCAGATACTCTTACACAAAGAAACAATTAGTAAATGACGATCCAATTCAAACATTTAATGAGCAGAAAAGATTAAGATACAAAATACCACATAATCAAGCGCTATATTGGGCACAGTCTTCACCAGCTTCATAGCAACCAGTAAGGTCTATATAAAATTCCATTTTACCCACTCAGTGACCCTCCCTGGTTTGGTCATCAGGTAAAAGCCCAAGCTCCTGCGTCTCTGCCCCTATCTGCCACAACCCTCTGCCTTGCACTTCTTCACTTTTCAAAAACCACCTTCTAGTAGTTACTGGCCTCTTCTCCTTTGGTTGCCCTACTTCTACATTCCTACCTACCCCTAAAATTCACATCCCACCTCGTTAGTCTGAATGTTACTCATTCTTCAAAGAAGACACTTCCAGGAAGTATTCCCCGACACCTTCTTCCGCCCTCCACACCCCGCAGTGTCCCTTATCAGTGCTGTATCTTAGTTTACACTACTTACCACACTGCACTGAAAGTATCTTTGATGTCCCTCTCTCTCCTAAATTGACTTCTAGAGAGAAGAAACATGATTGCTTCCAAGGTGAGCAAAAATTCAAATCCTGAACACTTCTTAATCCTACACATAAGAACCAGTAATTCTTAAGAGTTAACATTATTTATCAATAAATGGACTGACAATATAACCAAATCTTGCACCTCCGGTGAGCTTTCTTGACACAACTATTTTAATTAATAGACTTTCGGGGAAGGCAGTTTTAAATTTACAAAAAAAAAGGTACAACTTTTTAAATCCCCCTCCCCACCCCCCAAAAAAGTAAAATCTCTTCAGATTCAAAGAACTACTCCCCAGATGATGCCGGAAACTCGTCCTGGCAAATTTTCACATCTAATCTCAAGAGCAAACCAAGTCCCCCAGCGCCCACTGACACATTTCCCAACCGCAGGGCTTGGTCACCAGCTGAGACACCACCATCCGCCCGTGACCCACTATCTCACGCGGCTCAGTCCTTCCCTTCCTCTCTACTGAGCTTCCGTGATGGGCATCACCTTTTTTCTCCTCCAAGACAGTTCGGAAGCAGGAACTGCTGCTTCTAACACCAGGTCCACAACGTGCCCTCAATCACAGGAAACCAAAGTTAGGGTCAATCTTCGTCCCGGGGCCACGAGAGACCTTTCCCTCCCCAAGACCGAAGCGGGTCCGTGAGTCTCGGCGCCCCTGCCAAGGCTCGATTGCGATCTGGGCCCGAGCCTCCAAACCACACGGATCCCCGAGGAGCCCGGGTCACGACCCGACCGGTCGCCACCACAGGTGCCCTTGCAGACTCCGCGCACGGGACAGTGAGGAGGGAGCCGGCCAGCAGGAAACCACCGCGAGGGGTAGGCGGGGGGCAGGAGGTGGCCAGGAAATGATAAGCGTCTGTCAGTCGGAGTTGGGCCGCACCGCGGAAAACTTGGAGACGAGCACCTGACACGGGCAGGCCAAGCACCATGATTAAGGGGGCCGTCCAGGGCGGCGCCGCCGTGCCCCAGGCTGGGACGGAGGGCGGCAGGAGGCACCGAAGCGAAGCGGCGCCGGCCGAGTGAAAGGCATGGACGAATGATCCAGCAGCCTCCACCGGGACGGCGCCGCCGCCTCGCCGCCAGGAGCCAAGAGCCAGTCCGCTCTCAGCCCAGTGCATCTGGTCCGTACCTGGTCTGCGGCTCCACCGGCGACGGAACCGCAGCCCTCCGGCGTCGCCCAAGTAGGTCCCGGCTCTGCCAGTCCACAGCCCGCCCTCACGCCGGCCCGCCCTCCCTCAGCCCCGCCCCCGGCACGGCACGCGCGGACGTCACTTCCGGGACCCGCCGCCGCCGTAGGAGGTTAGTGTTGCGGGTGCCGGTAGAGGTCTGCGCTGGGTGGAGCGAGGCCGAGGCTGGCGTGAGTGACAGCACCAACGGTGCCGGAGGGCATGGGGCAGGAGGCCGCCTCCAGGCTAGCCTTGGGACACTGACTGGCGCGATCGGGAGCCGGCAGAGAAGCCGGCGTTTCCTTTTCCTCAGTTCCTGCTTCCGGGATCCAGCTCTCCGAGCCTGAGGGGGCGGAGCTGCGTCTCTGCGCCTCCCGGCTCCCTGCGGTTTGGTAGCGAGGAATGGGATCCCGGAGGCTGCTGCACAGGCTGGGAGAGGAGTCGTTTGGCCAGTAGTCGGTTTCCAGCCCCTAGGGAACGAGGCCGCCTGAAAAACTGATGGACCGCATCCCTTCACGGGTTTAGGATTTTAAAAGTGTTAAATTAAAGGACCTTAAAGAGATTGGTTGATCCAGAAGCCGTTTCTACAGCTGAGCATAACTGAGACCCAGAAGTTTTTAAGTTAGCCAGTATCACACGGTATTAACGTCGAGTCATAAATGAAATCCAGTTCTTGTGATTCCCATTTCTGGAATGTTGGGAATAGCAGTTGTGTCTGCACTGTGGTTGCCCCATGGCATAAAGTGCAGCCACACCAGGAAAAAAAAGGATAGAAAATACTGTACTGTCTGGGAGGAAGACCTGGGTTGGGGTGGGTAAAATTGCATCATTTCCATAGTATCTCGCCTGGCCTTAGTGCATCTGCATCCTCAGGGGTGGAGGGAAGTATGGCCTTAGTGCCTTTACGTATCAATAGCTTTCCTCAGAAGTGGAGAGAAGTTGCATCTCCATATCATGGGATAATTACCAGGGCAACAGAGGGCTTATCTGAACCTGAGAAGTGAGGAGGAGGGCTGCTTTTGCTTCTGCCGGAGTAGGAAAGAGAAACGACCCGGACTGCAATTTGTAAGCAATAAGCGGATTTTAAACTTTATTTCTCCCTTTGACTGATAACGGTTTTAGAGGTATTTTGCCCTGGGATTTCCTCTCCCCGGACTTACAGTTGGAATCCCAGCTTGGCTAAACGCTGCCTCTGTGATCTTGGACAGTTTGCCCAATTTCTCAGTCTTTGCTCATTATTTGCAAAGTGGAGATTCATTCCTCAAATTTTTTCCTAAACACTGAAGGGTTTAGGAAACCTTCAGAACATGCCAGCCCAAAATATGCCTATTTTGCAAAAGGGCTATTTTGAGAAAGTAGTCATAACAGAAGCTTTGAACAAGCTAGAAATTAACCTTTTTTAAAGGAAACTTACAATTATAAAGGAATACTACATTTGTAAAGCGTCTCCCTCTCTGTTCCTGGAGAAGGATGACTAAATCACAAGAGATGCTTATCAATAGAGAAGTTACCGACTTAATCTGCATAACTAACCTTAAACCTTGTTTACTTTTCTTTCCTTGGCCACCTCCCATAACTGGTCTACCCCCACACCCCCTACATCTTTCTTCTTTTGTCTTTATCTGAAGATGGTATTTAAGTTGGCATTCTAAACCTGTCCCCTGGGTGTCTCTGCATGTATATTAAGGATACATGTTTCTATTCTCTTGTTAATCTTTTATTACAGGAGTCTCAGCCAAGAACTCAAAAGGGTAGAGGGAAACTTATTTTCCCTCCCTTTAGAGCCCCTAATGTGTTGCTAGGAAGAGGGTACCACAAAGTATAATACGAAAGTACCTATCCTGAGAAGCATACATTCTAGGGGAGAGGAGGAAGAGCAAATAAATGGTGTTATTTATTCAGTACTTGTGGGTAAAACTAATATTTCCAGAATACCTCACCTGGCTTTAGTACATCTGCATATCATAGGTGTTCATAGGTGGAAAGAAGTATGGCTTTAGTGCATTTGCATCATTCCCCAGGGGTGGAGAGAAGTTCATCTCCATATTAATGGATAATTACCTGGGCAACCAAGGGCTTATCTGTACCTGAGAGGTGAGGGGGAGAGCCAGTTTTGCTTCTGCTGGAGCAGGAGAGAAGGCTCCGGACTGCAGTTTGTAAGCAATAAATGGATTTTAAGCTTTATTTCTCCCTTTGACTGATTTTGGTTTTTAGAGGTATTTTGCCCTGGGATTTCCTTTCCGCAGACTTAATAGTGGTATATGGTGATATTTGCTCCATAGAAAAATAATACAAGGAAGAGAAAAACTGCAGCAAAGAAGTTTGCAGTTTTAGAGTAGACAGGAAAGCCTCAGCTGAGAAGTGTGGGTAAAACTGCAGTATTTCCAGAATCTCTAGTCTGGCCTCAGCCATCTCCATATCAATAGGTGTTTACAAGGGGTAGAGTGAAGCTGTTTTCTCTCTAGTCCACCTCCATTATCGATAGGTGTTTACCAGGGGCAGGTGGAGAGGCGAGCACAGGCCAGATGGGAGAGAAACTGGTAAGAACAGCAGCTAAGGCAGCTTATGGAGCCATGCCTCTAAATAAAATGTGTTTTTACTCTTGACTGATTTCAGCTTAACAGGTTTATTCGCCCTGGGCTGGGAACACGTGTCCCCCCAGAGCTACAGAAAATAACTTGAAAAAGCTGAAGGAGCTATGCTCTGTGCAAATATTTGGGCAAGGGACAGGGAACACCAAGTGCAAAGGTCTTCTTGACACCTCCAACTTCTGTAGCTCTAACAGAGTGACTGGGGAGGTAGACCAGATCAAAATGTAATGGGCAATGCAAGTAAGGGACTATACAGAAAATGGAAATTTTACAGTCAGGATTCTCACCTTGCCTGATTTTAATATTGCCCTTTGTATGCCAACAGAAACACCTCCTGGAGAGAACAGTAAGCCAAGGAACTACAGGCCAAGTCAGTCAAAGAACTACAGTGGAGAGGAAACACACAAGCCCCTGGATGTAATTGGCCCAGCCTTGGCCAGTCACCATGCTGATCCACCCACAGAGTTCCTCTGCTGCTAGGGAAGGGGAAGGAGAGAGCCCAGAGAGAGCAGTGGGAGCAAAGCAGTGGAGGCTTAGGGAGGGGAGAGAAGAAGCAGGAGGGCTTCTGCCTTAACTGTTTTTCCTTTTTTATTTCATTTATATTTGGTGCTCTATTGTGAGGTGCGTATATGCTTACACTTGTTACATCATCTTGTAGGAATAAATCTTTTTCAGTTTATAATATCCTTGTTTCTTGTAATTTTTTTAGTGTAAAATCTATTCTAATAATATAGCCACTCTACCCACCTTTGATTACTGTTTACATGATATATATTTCTCCATCCTCTTACTTTTAATCTCTTCGTATCATTGAATTTAAAATGAGTCTCTTATAGGCAGTATATAGGTGGAACTTTTTAGAAAATACATGCTGCCAATCTCTGACTTAATTGGAGACTGTAATCCATATACATTTAATGTGATTACTGATAAGGAATGGCTTCATTCTGACATTTTGCTATGAGTACTCTATATGTATGTCTTACATGTTTTTGTTCCTCAGTTCTTCCATTACTGAATGTTTTGGTATTTAGTTGTTTTTCTGTACCCTGTTTGATTCTCTTCATTCCTTTTCTGTATATATATACATATATATATATATATATATTTGGTATCATTAATCTACAATTACATGAGGAACATTATGTTTACTAGGTTTCCCTCTTCACCAACTCCCTCTCACAACCCTGATTACAGTCACTGTCCATCAGCGTAGTAAGATGCTATAGAATCACTCCTTGTCTTCTCTGTGTTGCACAGCCCTCCCCGTGCCTCCTCCCACATTATTCATGCTAATCGTAATGCCCCCTTTCTGCCCCCACCTTATCTCTCCCTTCCCACCCATCCTTCCTAGTCCCTTTCCCTTTGGTAACTGTTAGTTCTTTCTTGGGTTCTGTTATTTTGCTGCTGATTTGTTCCTTCAGTTTTTTCTTTGTTCTTATACTCCACAGATGACTGAAATCATTTGGGACTTGTCTTTCTTCGCCTGGCTTATTTCACTAAGCATAGTACCCTCTAACTCCATCCATGTTGTTGCAAATGGTAGGATTTGTTTTCTTCTGATGGCTGAATAATATTCCATTGTATATATATATATACCACATCTTCTTTATCTATTCATCTACTGATGGACACTTAGATTGCTTCCATTTCTTGGCTATTGTAAATAGTGCTGCAATAAACGTAGGGGTGCATCTGTCTTTTACAAACTGCGCTGCTGTATTCTTAGGGTTAATTCCTAGGAGTGGAATTCCTGGGTCAAATGGTATTTCTATTTTGAGCATTTTGAGGAACCTCCATACTGCTTTCCACAATGGTTGAACTAATTTACATTCCCACCAGCAGTGTAGGANTACTGCTTTCCACAATGGTTGAACTAATTTACATTCCCACCAGCAGTGTAGGAGGGTTCCCCTTTCTCCACAACCTCACCAACATTCGTTGTTGTCTGTCTTTTGGATGGTGGTGCTCCGTACCAGTGTGAGGTGATATCACATTAAGGTTTTATTTTGCATTTCTCTGATGACTAGTGAAGTGGAGCATCTTTTCATGTGTCTGTTGGCCATCTGAATTTCTTCTTTGGAGAACTGTCTGTTCAGCTCCTCTGCCCTTTTTTAATTGGATTATTTGCTTCTTGTTTGTTGAGGTGTGTGAGCTCTTTATATATTTTGGATCTCAACCCTTTAGAAGATCTGTCATTTATGAATATATTCTCCCATACTGAAGGGTGCATTTTTGTACTATTGATGGTGTCCTTTGCTGTACAGAAGCTTTTCAGCTTGATACAGTCCCACTTCTTCATTTTTGCTTTTGTTTCCCTTGCCTGGGGACATATGTTCATGAAGAAGTCACTCATGTTTATGTCCAAGAGATTTTTGCCTATGTTTTTTTCTAGAAGTTTTATGGTTTCATGACTTACATTCAGGTCTTTGATCCATTTCGAATTTACTTTTGTGTACGGGGTTAGACAATGATCCAGTTTTATTCTCTTACATGTAGCTGTCCAGTTTTGCCAACACCAACTGTTGAAGAGACTGTCATTTCCCCATTGTATGTCCATGGCTCCTTTATCATGTATTAATTGACCATATATGTTGGCGTTAATGTCTGGAGTCTCTATTTTGTTCCACTGGTCTGTGGGTCTGTTCTTGTGCCAGTGCCAAATTGTCTTGATTACCATAGCTTTGTAGTAGAGCTTGAAGTTGGGGAGCGAGATCCCTCCCAATTTATTCTTCTCAGGATTGCTTTGGCTATTCAGGGTCTTTGGTGTTTCCATATGAGTTTTTGAACTATTTATTCCCGTTCGTTGAAGAATGTTGTTGGTATTTTGATAGGGATTGCATTGAATCTGTAGATTGCTTTGGGCAGGATGGCCTTTTGACAATATTAGTTCTTCCTAGCCAGAAGCATGAGATGAGTTTCCATTTGTTTCTGTCCTCTTTAATTTCTCTTAAGACTGTCTTGTAGTTTTCAGGGTATAGGTCTTTCACTTCCTTGGTTAGGTTTATTCCTAGATATTTTATTCTTTTTGGTGTCATTGTGAATGGAATTGTTTTCCTGATTTCTCTTTCTGTTAGTTCATTGTTCGTGTATAGGAAAGCCACAGATTTCTGTGTTTAATTTTGTATCCTGCAACTTTGCTGAATTCCAATATTAGTTCTAGTAGTTGTGGAGTGGACTCTTTAGGGTTTTTTATGTACAATATCATGTCATCTGCAAATAGTGACAGTTTGACTTCTTCCTTACCAATCTGGATTCCTTGTATTTCTTTGTTTTATCTAATTGCGGTGGCTAGGACCTTCAGCACTTTGTTGAATAGAAGTGGGGAGAGTAGGCATCCCTGTCTTGCACCCGATCTTAAAGGAAAAGCTTACAGCTTCTTGCTGTTCAGTATGATGTTGGCTGTGGGTCTATCATATATGGCCTTTATTATGTTGAGGAACTTGCCCTCTATACCCATTTTGCTGAGAGTTTTTATCACGAATGGATGTTGAATTTTTTCGATGCTTTTTCAGTGTCTATGGAGATGATCATGTGATTTTTGTCCTTCTTTTTGTTGATGTGGTGGATGATGTTGATGGATTTTCGAATGTTGTACCATCCTTTCAACCCTGAGATGAATCCCACTTGGTCATGGTGTATGATCCTCTTGACATATTTTTGAATTTGGTTTGATAATATTTTGTTGAGTATTTTTGCATCTATGTTCATCAGGGATATTAGTCAGTAATTTTCTTTTTTGGTGGGGTCTTTGCCTGGTTTTGGGGTTTTGGTATTAGGGTGATGCTGGCTTCATAGAATGAGTTTGGGAGTATTCCCTCCTCTTCTGTTTTTTGGAAAACTTTAAGGAGAATGGGTATTATGTCTCCTCTGTATGTCTAATAAAATTCCGTGGTAAATCCATCTGGCCCAGGGGTTTTGCTCTTGGGTAGTTTTTTAATTACCACTTCAATTTAGTTGCTGGTAATTGGTCTGTTTAGATTTTCTGTTTCTTCCTTGGTCAGAGTTGGAAGGTTGTATTTCTCTAGGAAGTTGTCCTTATCCTCTAGGTTTTCCAGCTTGTTAGCATATAGGTTTTCATAGTATTCTCTAATAATTCTTTGTATTTCTGTCAGGTCCGTCATGATTTTTCCTTTCTCGTTTCTGATTCTGTTGATGTGTGTTGATTCTCTTTTTCTCTTAATAAGTCTGGCTAGAGGCTTATCTATTTTGTTTATTTTCTCAAAGAACCAGCTCTTGGTTTCGTTGATTTTTGCTATTGTTTTATTCTTCTCAATTTTGTTTATTTCTTCTCTGATCTTTATTATGTCCCTCCTTCTGCTGACTTTAGGCCTCATTTGTTCTTCTTTTTCCAGTTTCGATAATTGTGATGTTAAACTATTCATTTGGGATTGTTCTTCCTTCTTTAAGAGTGCCTGAATTGCTATATACTTTCCTATTAAGACTGCTTTTGCTGTGTTCCACAGAAGTTGTGACTTTGTGTTGTTGTCATTTGTTTCCATATATTCCTTGATCTCTATTTTAATTTGTTCATTGATCCATTGGTTATTTAGGAGCATGTTGCTAAGCCTCCATGTGTTTGTGAGCCTTTTTGCTTTCTTTGTACAATTTATTTCCAGTTTTATACCTTTGTGGTCTGTAAAGTTGGTTGGTAGAATTTCAATCTTTTTGAATTTACTGAGGCTCTTTTTTGGCCTAGTATGTGGTCTATCCTGGAAAATGTGCACTTGAGAAGTATGTGTATCCTGCTGCTTTGGGGTATAGAGTTCTACAGATGTCTATTAGGTCCTTCTGTTCTACTGTGTTGTTCAGTGCCTCCGTGTCCTTACTTATTTTCTGTCTGGTGGATCTGTCCTTTGGAGTAAGTGGTGTGTTGAAGTCTCCTAAAATGAATGCGTTGCATTCTATTTCCTCCTTTAAATCTGTTAGTATTTGTTTCACATATGCTGGTGCTCCTGTTTTGGGTGCATATATATTTATAATGGTTATATCCTCTTGTTGGACTGACCCCTTTATCACTATGTAATGTCCTTCTTTATCTCTTGTTACTTTCTTTGTTTTGAAGTCTATTTTGTCTGATACTAGTACTGCAACACCTGCTTTTTTCTCCTTGTTGTTTGCGTGAAATATCTTTTCCATCCCTTGACTTTTAGTCTGTGCATGTCTTTAGGTTTGAGGTGAGTCTCCTGTAAGCAGCATATAAATGAGTCTTGCTTTTTTAATCCATTCTATTACTCTGTATCTTTTGAATGGTGCATTCAGTTCATTTATATTTAGGGTGATTATTGAAATATATGTACTTATTGCCATTGCAGGCTTTAGATTCATGGTTACCAAAGGTTCAAGGTTAGCTTCTTTACTATTTTACCATCTAACTTAATTCACTTATTGAGCTTTTTTAAACACAGTGTGGTGATTCTTTATTTCTCTCCCTTCTTATTCCTCCTCCTCCATTCTTTATATGTTAGTTGTTTTATTTTGTGTTCTTTTGTGTTTCCTTTAACTGCTTTTGTGGGTAGTTGATTTTATTTTTTGCCTTTAGTTAGTATTTGGTTGGTCTGCTTTCTTTACTGTGATTTTATTTTGTCTGGTGACATCTATTTACCCTTAGGAGTGCTTCC